ATCCCTGCCCCTAAAACTCGAGTGAGGCGTATCTCTAAACGCGCGAGAACTTACGTACTTACGAGAGAAAAGAAAGTTGATATGGGCGAGAATGTCCAACCCAAGTACTGTCCAGATCGACAGACTTCCGCAAGTGAAACACACGTGTCTAAATTTTGGGCAAGGCTCAAAGTAGCATCTTTACAAAGTTGGGTAAGCATTGATTGGGATCCATGCACCCAAAACTCGAGTGTGGCGCATCTCTAAACCAGCGAGAACTTACGAGAGAAAGAAAAGTGTATATTGGCGTGAATCTCTCACCCAAGCACTTCTCAAATCGATAGACTTCCACAGGTAAAATAAACGTGTAACGATTTGGGGGAGGGCTAAAAGCAGCATCTTCAAAAAGTTAGGTAAGTATTGATTAGGGTTCCGGAACCTAAAACGCGTGTGGCGCATCTCTAAACGCGCGAGAGCTTACAAGAGATAAGAGAGTTGATATGAGCGGAAATCTCCAACCTAAAGACTGTGCAAATCGATAGTTTTCCACAAGTGAAAAACTCTTGTGTAGATTTGGGGCGGGGCTAAAAGTAGCACCTTTAAAAAGTTAGGTAAGCATTGGTTGGGATCCCCGCACCTAAAACGCGAGTGTGGCATATCTCTAAACGCACGAGAACTTGCCAGAGAAAAGAAAGTTGATATGGGCGAGAATCTCTCACACAGGCACTGTCCAAATCAAAAGACTTCAACAAGTGAAACACACGTGTTTGGATTTCGGGGAGGGCTAAAAGCACCACCTTTAAAAAGTTAGGTAGGCATTAGTTTCGATCCCTGCACCTAAAACGCGAGTGTAGCGCATCTCTGAACGTGCGAGAACTTACGAGAGAAAAGAAAGTTGATATGGGCGAGAATCACTCGCCCAAGCACTGTACGAATCGATAGGCTTCCACAAGTGAAATACGCGTGTGTAGATTTGGAAGAGGGCTAAAAGCAACATCGGTAAAAGGTTAGGTAAGCATTGGTTAGGATCCCTGCACCTAAAATGCGAGTGTGGCGCATCTCTAAACGTGCGAGAACTTACAAGAGAAAAGAAAGNTAAAAGGTTAGGTAAGCATTGGTTAGGATCCCTGCACCTAAAATGCGAGTGTGGCGCATCTCTAAACGTGCGAGAACTTACAAGAGAAAAGAAAGCTGATATGGGTAAGAATGTCCAACCCAAGCACTGTCGAAATCCATAGACTTCCACAAGTGAAATACACGTGTGTAGATTTTGAGCAAGGCTAAAAGTAGCATTTTTAAAAAGTTAGGTAAGCATTGGTTGGGACTGCCTTGCACCTAAAACGCGAGTATGGCGCATTTCTAAACGCGCGAGAACTTACGAGAGAAAAGAAAGTTGATACTGGCAAGAATGTCCAACCCAAACACTGTGCAAACCAATAGCTTTCCACAAGCGAAATGCACATTTGTAGATTTGGTGGAGGGCTAAAAGTAGAGTTTTTAAAAAAATTAGGTAAGCATTGGTTGGGATCCCCGCACCTAAAACGCGAGTGTGGCGCAGCTCTAAACGTGCATCTCTAAATTATATGAGAACAGGGCTGTATTCCTCTAAGGCTTTGGGTGTAATTCGTAGAAACACTGAGTTTTTATAAATCGTTTAGAAATTCTTCGATCAGTTGAAATTTATGTTGCTGACACATGAGTGGGCACTTTATATGTAGACCGTGATGTAAGATACCTTAGACTATTTTTACTGCTTCTGATGACTGCTACGTTAGTCTGCTTTGCAAATATTTAACTGCTCTGGTCGAATTTTTAATTTCAATATGATTAAACGTTCTTTTTATGCGTTCCTGTTAATAATGATGCAAAGTTGTCAATTTTAGTAAG